ACTCACCTCTAGCCTGGCCACGGCAAACGGTGTGGCTCCCACCATGTGCACAGGGGTGACCCCACTGACCCGGGTTCTGTAATCGGTGATCTCCCCCTCGGGCCGGATGAATTTGTCGTAGAGCACGTGACCATAGTAGTTCACAAGGCTGCATCGAGCCAGTCCGCTCTCCCGCTGGCGCCCCAGACCCACCATCTCGCAATCCATAGCCACTGCCTCACGGCTGCCAGCCATGTTCCTCGAGGACCCTCGGAGATGCCGGAGAGAGGGGCATCGGTGAGTCTCACGCCCAGGCCAACCAGCCTCCAGGTGTCTTTGGCCACCCAGCCAGCCTCACCCTCTACCCTGCCTTTGTCTAACACCACCTGGCCACAGAGGAAGCTGGCCTCTGGCCACCCCACCCGGCCTCCCCTGCCCTGCCCGCAGGTACCCGAGCCCCTCCTGCAGCCTCCTGGCAGCTGCTCCGCTCTCACCTGCCTGCCTCTGCGCCCTGGGCTCACGTCTGCCTCTCTGCTGCCACTGCTCGGCTACTGCAGGTGCGTTCAGCAGTGACTCATCTCACTCCAAGCCGGCATCCTGACTGTTTCAGTTTCTGGTTTGTTATCAAGTGAAGTCAGGGGTGGGCAGCTGGGCACGTGGGCTGGGCTGCTCCATCTCCGCAGCAACCAGCAAGTGGGGAGTTCAGCTCGGGGCCTGACTCAGGGCTGAGTGAGCTGGCGGGTTCTGTGTCAGGGTGTCCCTCCTTTGCCCCTGCCCCCTCTTCAGTGACGCATCTGACACGGACGGAGTGGATTGCAACATCCTTCTTTCCTTTCCCAACCTCCAGCAAATAAACATCCCTAGGATTGGAGCCCAGGGAATTCCCCACAACCTCTGGGGCCAGCTACCAGTCTGATACTCTGAGGTCTCTCATGGGGGCAGAAAAACTGACTCTTGGGACAGTGAGGCTACCACCTGAGGTGGTCAGACGGTTGTGGTGGGAGGGGGCTTGCCCCCACCTCCAACTCAGAGGGCCAAGAGGGGTTGTGAGGGAGCCCTTACAGCTGCCATCTTTCTTTCTTTTTTTTTTTTTGAGTTGGAGTCTCACTCCATTGCCCAGACTGGAGTACAGTGGCCGCTCCCGGCCACCACAGCCTTGACCTAATGGGCTCTGGCGATCCTTCCGCCTCAGCCTTCTGAGTAGCCGGAATTACAGGCATGCGCTACCACGCCTGGCTGAGTTTTTGATTTATTGTATAGATGTGGTCTCGCCAAGTTGTCCAGGTGGGTCTTGAGCCTGCGGGCTCAGGCAATCCACTCACCTCAGCCTCCCAAAGTACGGGATTACAGGCTGAGCCACGGAGCTTGGCTTGGCTGCCATCTTTCTAACACTGTCCTCCAACTGGGCTGACACTGAGGACAAGGAGAAGCAGATCTTGAGAGAGCCCCCACCTGCTCAGTCATACTTCCTGGGGTCAGCACTCTCCCAGGCTAGGATGTTGAGCTCTGGAGCACTCCGAATTTAATGAATGACAAATGAGTTACAGCTGGGGCAAAAAGAGAATCAAAACTTCCTGAGGAAAGCGACCATCGTGTGCTGTGGTGAGATTCAGCGATGAGCTGAGAGCTCCCCATGCTTGCCTCCTACCCCAGATTCACACAGAACACTGATCCATCTGATCTGACGTCCTCCTCCACACTCTGGTCACAGGGACTTGTGGTTTGAATAGAAACTTCCCCATAGCAGTGGTGTTTTCTTTCACCTAGTGGGATTTGGATGTCCGAATAACAGACCTCAAAAATAAAACCAAATGCTGAAATATGGTTCAAATTTGAGGTAGCAAAAAGTATCTCTGGTTCCCATTCTGAATAAGCAATTTCACTTGGATTCAGACTGTTTGGGTCTTTTTGTGCTTTTCAAATGCATCAAGGTTTGTTACCAATTCAGGAGGAAATGAAGCAACATTCCTGATGGCTTACATGACATGCGTTGAAACAGTAACCCCCTAAAGACCCATTTGAAGATGATCCTGCAATCCCTGTGGGACCTGAGGCGATCCTGGGACACCAGCCTCCTCTGCAAGCCTCCCCTTCACCTCCACTGCCTCCTGGGGGCTCAGACAGTGCACATCCCACTCCTCCAGTGTTCTCCCCTATGGTCCTGTGCTGCTGTGTGGATTCCACTCCTAGTCTGCATCTTCTGGTCTTCCCTGGCGGCCTCTAAATCTTGCCATCTCCCTTCTCCTCTGGACGCCTGAGCCCAGTCCTCACTTGTTTGCCCGCATGGCTGCAGGAGTCCACTCCCAGGTCTCCACTCCATCTTCGTTCCCTGCTCCAAATGGTCCTTTGAGTTCTACCATATTAAGATTCTCAAAATCTTAGCTGGGTGCAGTGGCTCACAACTGTAATCCCAGCACTTTGAGAGGCAGAGGCAAGAGGATTACCTGAGCCCACGGGCTCGAGACCAGCCCAGGCAACATGGCAAGACCTTGTCTCTACAATAAATCAAACAATTAGCCGGGCATGGTGGTGCATGCCTGTAGTTCCAGCTACTTGGAAGGCCGAGAGGGAAGGATCGCCTGAGCCCAGCAGGTCGAGGCTGCGGTGGCCATGAGCATGCCACTGCACTCCAGCCTGGGCAAAAGTGAGACTGACTCAAAAAAAAAGATTCCCTAAATCTAATGTCTCATACTGTTTGTCACAGCTCAAGAATTTAGGGATTTCCTGTTGCTTCCCCTCAGCCCGGCAATCAAAACTTCTGGGCAATTTTCAGACCCTCTTGCATCTGTCCACCAGCCTTTCCAATCTTGTCTTGTAGCACTATCCTATGGAAGCCTCTTTTAGGTTTAAACCCATACTCAGGGCTTTAGTTGATGCACATAGTGCCTCCTACCAAACCACCTGAAGGTCCTGCTCAGTTCTTTCAGATAATGGTGGTGATTCCTAAACCCCTGCATCTTTCAAGGTCTAAGGCCCAATGGCTAGAGGCACCAGTAAGATCGTCTCTGCTTCAGGTAGGATAGGCAGTGCTGAAGGTAAGCCCCCTCCTGTGCCCTTCCCACTCCCCCTTTGCCTGTCTTCTTGGCTCTTTGTTCCTCCAACATTCCAGGCATGCTCCTCTCTCAGGATCTGGGTGTTTGCTGTCCCCTGGGTCTGGAAAGCTCTTCCCCAAGGTCATTTACCTGATTTGCTCCGGTTCCTGAATCAGGTCTTTCCATAAGGCCTTCCCTGACCTATTTAAAACTGTACTTCCTACCCCTTCCTGGCCTTTTTCTAGAGGTATTATCACCACCTGAAATACTGTGTATCTTACTTGTTCATTTCCTGTTCCCTCTGGCATCTGTTTGGGTCACTCCAGCACCTAGGAACACTGCCTGGGTCAGACTGGATTGTTTTTCAAATGTATTGTGTGCTCTGATGTTAGGCCCAGAGACTGGTGACTAAGAGCACCCAGGGAGAAGCCTGACCCCAGCCAGGGAGTTCCTGGTGCTGATGCCTCAGCTGTAACTGGTGCTACCTGTGGGCAGGCCACGCCCACAAGTCTTGTTGGATCAGGTGACTGCAGGCAGGTGAGTCACTCAGGGCAAACATGTCAGCCTTACAAGACACATATCAGCCACAGCTGACCACCTGTAATGACCACAGTGTGTACAAAGTCTGCCACTCTGGGACCCTCCCTCCCTGAGTCCCCAGGACTGGGCTCAGGTACAGGCCAAGTGGAGGATGCACAATGAGGGTCACCTCTCCCACAGGCAGCCTGTCCCAGTTGATCATCTCCTGCCTTGCCCCTAAGATGTGTACGTGTATTTCTAAGCTACAGTTGACCCTTGAACAACATAGGTTTTACCCTGTGTGGGTTCACTTATATGCAGATTACTTTCCAATAGATATACTGGACATTTTTTGAAGATTTCCCACCATTTGAAAAACTCAGGCAGGTGTGGTGGCTCATGGCTAGGCAGGATGACTGCTTAAGCCCAGGAGTTCGAGACCGGCGTAGGCAAGATATCAAGACCCTGTCTCTAAGAAATAAATAAAAAAGAAAAAAATCACATATTAACTGAGTAGCCTAGAAATATCAGTGAAATTAAAAGGTATGTCATGAATGCTTACTAATTTATCATTTACTACCATAAAATATATTTAAAAGGTGAAATTTATCAAAACTTATGCAAACACTGTATGTGGCACCAATCTCAGTAAAGAGAAATGTAAATAGATGTAAAGATGCAGTATTAAACTGTAGCTGGGTAGGATCAACTGTAGTCCATACTGTCACTGCATGGCATAGTTACTTTCTGTGCTATTGCGGTGAGCTTCTGTTGCCAGTAACTGCTTCACACGCAGGTGACACTGATCATCTCATGAGTGAGTGGTTCGTCTCTCTGGTAAATTGAATACCCAGTAAAAAGTGACCTCTTGTGTTTCCTGTGTATTTTTTTCCCCATGTAGTACAATATCATAAACACTGATGGGACCCATATGAAGTGCCACTGTTGATGCTGGAAGTACTCCCGAGAAGCAAAGTCATGACGTTACAAGAGAAAGCTGAATTATTTGATAAGTAACATAGATTGAGGACATTTTGGATAAATGATTAATCTTATGAAAAGACAACATAAACTTACAGTAATGATAAATATGTTACAGCACTATAAATGTATTTTCTCTTCTTATGGTTTTCTTAGCATTTTCTTTTCTCTAGCTTACCTGATTATAAAAGTATAGTATGTAATATGTATAACATATAAAATATGTGTTAATAGGCTGTTTGTGTTATCAGTAAGGCTTTCAGTCAACGGTAGACATTAGTACATAGTTAAATTTTTGCTCCCTCAAAATTTATCTGCAGATTTTTGACTGTTGGGGGAGGGTCGGTACCCCAGACCCTGTGTTGTTCAACTCTACATACTACTGTATAGGTTGAACCACAAGAAAGTTGAATATCAGCAATTCCTGTGGTTTAACTTAATACATGCAAAATTGTCCTAATGGAATACATATTATAAAATATGGATATAAGAAATTAGATTAGCCGGGCTTGGTGGCTCAGCCTGTAATCCGGCGCCTTGGGAGGCTGAGGTGAGTGAATTGCCTGAGCCCGTGGGTTCGAGACCCGTCTGGGCAACTTGGTGAGACCTCATCTCTACAAATAAATCAAAAAATTAGCTGGGTGTAGTAGCGCGCGCCTGTAGTTCCAGCTACTTGGAAGGCTGAGGTGGAAGGATCGCTGGAACCCAGCAGGTCGAGGCTGCAGTGGCCGGGAGTGGCCACTGCACTCCAGTCTGGGCGACGGAGTGACTCCAACTCAAAAA